ATTCATTATAGCCATTTACTAGATTTGTAATAAACAAATAGCGTTGTATGTCTCTATCAGTGTTCACATTCTCGACTTAGATCTCTCGCGAAACGAGGATGACAGAGCGCTGAAGACGCTCGAAGATCGCTGATCGGCGCACGAAATTCTGCAGAACTCGAAATCGAAGGAAAAAGACTGAAACCTTTGGGCACGAAAATATTTCGATTAGGTCGAGCAGTGGTTGTGCCTGCGCCAATCAATTACTGAACTCGGACAGCTTGGTGGCGCGAGATCGAACGAGAAAATCGAACTCGCACCGCGCGAAGGCACAGCGAACGGAAGCACAAGGGTGAAAACGAGCAACGGGATTTTTATCCCCTTAAGCTTCGACAAACGTTTGCGTCCTCGTCGACGGAAGACGCGCTGGCGCGAAAGCTCCCGGGATTCGACGGGACACGGCCAAGTGACGCGAGTCGCTCTGTTATTCTATACGCAATCGAAAATAAAGCCGTTTAAGGGCAAAGCGGTTTAAAGGGACTAGCCAGCCCTGGCTTGCTAACGGGCCCGGATTAAACGCGTAATCCGTGTCAAAGGCATCGACAGACCGAAGCCTTAACGCGCTTCCTGGCCCTATCATCCCTGTCCGAGCGACAGCTTTAGCGTTTACACGTTTGTAAGTGGTATTAATGGAATCTTCGTACGGTTCTCGCCCAAGGATTAACCCATTTGCCTTGTAACATCCGGTCGAAGAGGTCGCGCGGCGGTCAATTTGTCTAGAAACGAGAGCGCGAATCTTCTATCTTTGTTAGTTGTTGCTAGTCGTCGCAGAGAGATCAGTCTTGGAGGATTTCTGAACTTAGACGTCGATTCTGATGTTATCTGTTCGCTGGCGTAGGAAACTAGCGTTATGAGAGCGCCTTTAAAAAGGTGATTTGATAAGTGATTATACGGGAAGTGGTTGAGCGTATGTGATCGAGTAAAATAATCGATGCGTCTAATGAGACGGCGAATGCATTGGCGCATCTCTCGGGTTAATTCCAGTAGCGGTTCCCGTTCTATAATTTCAGCGTGCAAAGGAAAAAAAATGGCGAGATCCGTTGTGCCGTTAATTCCTGCGATTATCATCCGGACACGTACGAAATAGCGCTTCGGGAGTAGGAAGTGCGCGAAGTTTGCATACAGGTTGAACCATTTAGTAGTAATCACCTTGAATTATCTTCTTCGTTTCTGTCAATCAGAAATTATTTATATCCCCGTAAACGCGTAGGCGCAAGAAATCGTGGATTCATCTAGAAACCAGCTTAAAAACTTTCACAGAGAACGACCAACAAAAGAAGAATAGGATCTAATCATTCTGAATACGATCGTCTTCCCAATTCGTTCATTAGCCACAGAATAATTTAGAACAGCCGCGATCGTTGGTTCACACTGAATATCTAATGAACACCTGTAGATTTTCACTCCGCGTAAAATTGTTAACAGCATCCGACGATCGGAGAGCACTTTGTTTGTAAAACATTTCTGGAGAAAACATCGACTGGTCCTCAGCTTTCCATTAACGACAAAGTAATTACTTGCTCGTTACCGGAGAAAGGTTGAACGTCACGTTAATCGTTCGTTAATTGCTTCTCGGACAAGGTTACGCAACGTTTCTGATCATGGAATGCAGCCGGAAATTATGGCACAATAATGTCAGGTAGCCAACGAATAGACGAAGAAATTGTACAATATTCCTCAGTGTTTGTTTCCACGAAGATCGAACTTTTCTCGACACGTCGACTGCCTCGTCGGTCACGCAAGGGTGACGCTATCCTTTAACTAAGCTTTGTAGTTCACTTTTATCATGATACACATTGAATAAACTGAATTTAACCATGCGAAAGAGAAAAACTAATATTCATCAAGATAAATATTAAAACTATGCCGTCCGGTGGCACCACGCTGGTGCCATTTTAAAAAACTGAAATAACATTTGAACTATATTTCTTGAGTGTTAAAAGGCAGCAAACTAACTCTATAGCATTGTGCTTATTTAACTAAGAATTAAGTACGAAAATTCTTGGATGACATATCTTAATTTTAGGAATTTATATTACCGCCATCTACGAAATTTTTTTTAAATCTAAAATTTCCAAGTTATTACGCCGGCGTCAAACAAAAGAATCGTATCTAAGATCTGCGGACGGCATAGTGTTAATTATCTAGTTTCGATTGCGATTAATTAAATGACCTTGACATTCTAGGAATTTTTAGGAGTAATTATCGGCACCTAACGCGTTAACGCGTTCGGTACAATCGTTCGGTTCATCGACCAGAAGATCGCATTATGTGTGCCGGAACTCCGCGGAATTTCTCATTTCCTAGATAAAATGGAAAAAAAACGAGGATCCCACGCGTCCTCATTTTCCCCTGGGAACCAATTGCAGAAACAAGTCGCCGTGGCGTTCAAAGGCGACCATAGACCGATTTCTTTGAACCGGCTGTTTAGAACGTTTCATCCCCTTTAAGCTCGCTGGCGAGACCCGAATCAGCGATCCGGTTAACCAGCCACGTAGCTTTGTGTATTCAGGATTGCGGGTAGTCGAGCTGCGGAATTTCCGTGGGATGAAAAGGTTCTCACAACGGATACGGGTCCGGTGTAAGGCCGAGAGCCCGAGAAAGCCCATTTCGGCCGGCGGCCGCGTTCACGCCGCGGTGTAACGAAACGGTGGCCGCGGAATGACTAACGTCGCTCGACGGACACGCTCGCCTCGTGGTTCGTCGAGCAGGGTCGCTCGAAACAAAGAAAACCGAAGATTCATGGGACGGCAGCGCCTGGCGTCCTTTTCTCGCCCTCGGAATTCCCTTACAGTAATTAAATTTCCTGTCGCTCCGATGGAGTTTTGAGAAACCGCAGGAGCTTCGAGGATAAGTAGTTTTACATCGACTTGCCCAGAGGGACGGAGAGCTTCGGGGCGCGAGAATGGGCCAGTGAGAGAGTGAAGGAGTTAGTCGGTGAAAAAGGGTGAGATAGTGGAAATGTGAAAGAAAGGAATAGCTTTAGTGCTTGAGAACTAAAATGTCTGGCAGCTTGAGAGATTGAGACTTCGCGAGCTCGAGAACTTGAGTGCCCGAGACCGCGGGATCTTCGAAGCTTGCGATTTCGGAGCCTTGAGACCTCGGGAACTTGAGACTCGGATATTACCAGGTCCATAAATTAACCAGTTAAGTGTGCGTTCGACGACTATATCCGTCACGGAGATGTGGCAGAATTTTGTGCCATGACGATTATATCCGTCATTCGTAAAATTTTGTTACAATTTGATATTTAAATCGCAATTCTGGCGAAAACTAATTATATTCGTACATTTTAATATGTTTAAAATGTTTAGAGGCCAAGACGAAATGAAACAAACAAATGAAAATTATAAATAATTTCAGTTGGATTCATAACTTCCTGAGAGCTAACTCGTAAGCAGTGCAGTAACACTGGATCTTTGATTATCCCGATTTTCATCTTGATGTATCAAAACCAAAAAAAAAAACAAAGTATATTAGATTCTCCATCTGCGGTGATTCCTGGAAAGAGCTCATGTGCGCGCTGTCTCACTTCTTTCTTTTTACTGGTCTTACTTTCGCGTAAACAAAGTTAACAGCGCCACTTACTCTGTGTTCGACGATTATACCCGTCATCGCTTGATTATCGCGACACAGCCTGGTGGACGCTTTGCAAAGAGATCGCCACAGTTAACTGGTTAAGGCATCGAGAGCTTCGGACATGAAAAGATTCAAAGATCGAGAGGTCGCGAGATCAAAAGCACGAGACGTTGAGATCTCTTTAAAAAAATTGAAAATCGGAGCTTGACAGTTTGACAGCTTGAAAGCTTGAGAGCGACAGAGAGAAAGAGAGTGCGAGCGGATGAGAGCGAAGGGGCGAAAGATTGGAAGAGCGAGTAAAAGAGAGAGAGAGAGAGAGAGAGAGAGAGAGAGAGAGAGAGAGAGAGAGAGGGATAGAGGAATAGGAGGTGGAAAGCGAGAGAGGGTAAGCGGGGAAGTAAACTAAACTAAATCCGGCAACGTCCATTGTTCCCACGCGGACGCGAAAGTTATGACGCCGAAGCACGGTCGAAATCCAATTATATTTTGCCGGTCGGCCGTCTGTCCTCGATCGCAAATGGCTCAAGGATTTCAGAGATCCCACCCCTTAATCCTTTCAATCTGACGGAAGAAATATATCACGGCAGATACTCCCGAAACGAACTACAACCCCGGCGCTCGGTCGAAGGTGATAGACTAGAGATTAAATGTTAAATAACGTTGATACGACAGACCGCTCTGTTATCTTCGATAAAGGAATAATGGATTTTTAGTCTCGGATGAAACATCGAGCTCGGATATATCGGGCCGGATACGAACGTTTGCGAACCTCCAATCGTCGTATAACGTTTTACCCCGTGCGACAAGCTTTTATTTCAATTTCTTTGTGACATTGATCATCCGCGTTTCGATACTCTAGCTCTATGAAAACGCTGCGCAGCGACCGGAAATGTATCATTCGATGGATTTAGTTCTTCTTAACGCTTGGACACTGCAGCGTTAACCCTAATTTATTGTATCTTCCCAATTTCATCGGGATCCGCGAACCGTAAGAATGCTGCAAAAGCGGTCGATGCGATTTACGACTTAACTTTTCAATTTCAATTCGATTATGCAAGATAATTTGATTTGATGACATCGTCGAGCTTGTCGCGTGGCAATCGATTTAAAACCGGTGCAGCTTTTTGCACAGCGCGTCGTCTGCAGATAAAGATAATTAACTTCCTCGGAGCAAACCATTTTAGACAATCCGCGCTGAGTTTCCAGATCTCTTTTTTCGCTCGAACCCCGAATGTTTAAACAATTAATAATGAGATGAATCTGCACGACCCGAGCGAATCTAGCCGTCGAAATCGCTTTCCATTGGTTAATACTGCGAGACCCGAAGAGAAGCTCTGCGACGAGGGTAGCGGCGCATAGCGCGAGCAAGTGGAATCGCTCACCTTCGTGATGAGATCCTTGGCGCGGCTCTCGAACAGGTGCTCGAGCTTCTGCGTGTCGACAGGCACCGGGGACAGTTCGTCCCACACCATCTTGTTTTTGTCGAGCCTGGACAGTATGATGGGGTCATCCCTGACCTCCTTCCAGAACAGCTTCACCGTCTTCTTGCTCTTCTTGGTGAAGGTCGGCGGCGGACTCTTTGGCGTGTTGCCGGCGTCGTTCGCGGCCGGCGACCTCGGCGACTTGAAATTCACGCCGAAGAGAGGCGGCGGCGGCTGTGGCAGAGGCGGAGGTAGTCTCGCCCCCAATGGCGGCGGCGGCGGGGCCCGAGAGCCACCGAGAACCGACTGCGGCACCATGGGAGGCGGGGGTGGCGGCACTCCGTTGGTCACGTTCACCGGGCCGAGAACGTCGACCTCGTCGTCGGTGTTCAGATCGGTGAAGTCGAGGTCGCAGAGCGCCAACGGTCTCTTCAACTTCTTCACCAGCTCCTCCCAGTGAAGCTCGTTCTCCGACTTCTTTGTCTCCTGCAACTTCGGCAAGTTGTCGCTGGTCGGCGACTTCAACACGTCCGCCTTCGACTTCGACTTCGCCAGGCCCTCCTTCGCCTTCGAGATCAGACCGCTCATGTCCCCTATCCTGCAACCGAAACTTACGCTCAGAGCTGCAGTTTTGCTGGTGATTTGTTAAATTAAGGTTAGAGCTTTGCCGATCGAAGCCAAGTTAGGGTCAAAGTGCTTTGGAAGTTCGATATCGAAATCAATGTTGCACGCTGAGACAATTGGGAGTCTTCGACAGCGAAAATTCCGAGGAAAAATTCGATTCCGAATAAATCTAGCCTAATTGCGTCGTCGTATAGATTACAGAGACGTTTTTTGGGTGCCAGCGCGAACGCTGTGTTTGCGATGTAGAAAAGACGGGCGAAGCGAATCGACCCGATCGAACACACGGTCAAATTACCTGGAGACCTTCTCCTCGACCGGACTGCTGGGTATAAGATTTTGAGCCGCCAGCTTTTGTGTGAGATCCTTGACGGTTCCTTCCCTCTTCAGCTGTAAAACCACTCGACGATCCTCATCCTCGTCGGTGTGATTGCCCTCGTCGCACTCGACACCCTCGTCCGGGCTCTTCCCGTACCACGGTTTCTTCTCTTCGGAGTCGAGCTTGTTCGCGGCATTCATCAGGGGCGTCAAGTCCTTCCTGCTGTTCGTCCTGGACAACTTATTCGAGGGCGAGTCCGCGTTCCGGTCGTACGACGTGCCGTTCGTGTAACGCAGTCCGTTTGTCGGGAAAGGACCTTCGCGGGGTCAACAGGAAATTGAATGTATTACCGTGACACACGGTCGATTCTTCTATTCGAATCTATCGACAGCCGATACGTAACGCGGAACACGGGCTGGCTTGTAACTAGACTTTTATCCGAAATTGCGATGCCAACGATTGTTTCGTCGTTGAACAAAATTAATGGAGCTATTAACCCCTGGCCGTATCGTTTTACAGTAAATTCTCCCTAATTGACGCTCGGATTCTGCATAAAAATGGACAATTTGTGAAGAGGAGATACGATATATTATTTACCATATTTACCGTAAATATTATTTTATAGTTACCGATTGTCAAGAACTATAAAAACAAGCCGCATGGCTCGAATAATCGTATCTCCTCTTCCCAAATTCTCCATTTACTGTATTTGGTTACAATGATTAGAACTTTTTCGATTCCAATCACTTCTTACCAGACAAAGAAAATTTATATTTATTGGAGTTAATGCAGGATTTTATTCCGACTTCAAAGGACCGAATAATGTTCGTACTTAACAGGTTTCGGCGAAAGATCTCCGTCAGGAGTCATAGACACGTCAAAGAATGACAAGGGGTTAACCCTTTGGTCTCGATTAGCAACTCTGACTCGCCATTTAACACTATGCCGTCCGCAGATCTTAGATACGATTCTTTTGTTTGACGCCGGCATAATAGCTTGGAAATTTTAGATTTTTAAAAAAGTTTCGAAGATGGCGGTAATATAAATTCCTAAAATTAAAATATGTCATCCAAGAATTTTCGTACTTAATTCTTAGTTAAACATTTATAGTTAGTTTGCTGCCTTTTAACACCCAAGAAATATAGTTCAAATGTTATTTCAGTTTTTTAAAATGGCACCAAAGTGGTACCACCGGCATGCAACAGATAGTTTTTGCATGGCACCAGCGTGGTGCCACCGGACGGCATAGTGTTAAAATTGTTACATAATATTTTAAAATAATTTTGATATCTTCAAATTTGTTTAAACTTTAAAAACTGTTAAAAGCATAAATGTTGCACGAGCTACAATATTAAATTTCATGCGTATAAAATGCACTTGAGTCATACAAAATGGAAATACTGTAAGTCGGAGAAACTATTTCGAATTCGGAGTTGAAACTGCTTCGAGAGCAAAGGGTTAAGACATTTTTTATCAATCCTTCGACGATGACTGCGAACATATCATCGGCAGACACGTGTTTCCAATTTCGAAAGATGCAAAGCCATAATTAACGGCGGATAAAACTTTGCTGCCCGGCTCGAAGATGCGAATCGGAATACAAGAAGCCCTAAGTACTAACTTTCCTGATCGTCCGAATGACCCACGGACGCTCGCATATTCGCCGTAGCCTCTTGTTGCTCCCTGATAAAGCTCCTCTGTCTCTGGGCTCGTTCCCGTCGGCGTCTCAGCGCCGGTGTCACGCCGACGTCCACTGAAACCCGCAATAAATCACTTCTTTCCTTAACTGTTCGCCACTGATGCACACCGTCCCCGATCATCCGCCGTGACGACGTAAAATTCACTGTTTACAGACCCGACCCGATCCGCCCCTAGTGTTCAGTCTCCCGGAATCGCGCCGATTCGATCTTTATATTGATTTATAACCGGAGGCGACACGAAACTTCCGACCGTAGTTTCTGCAAATACGATTCGTCACGGGCATCATTCTTCCCGCTTTCGTCGACAACGCGGAAACCGCCCGATCGACGAACGTTGCGATAGCGTTCCACATTCCTGACGCAATTTTAGAAACACTTGCGTGTGTCTAAACAGTTTTTATTTCAACGATAATTCGTCGACGAGGCCAGAAAATCTTTGCAAAGTTGGATGCGAAAACAAAATTAAAAGAATTAATGTATATCGACACCTTCCTCGCGGACTGAGTAAAAATTAAATTATTCTCGGTATTGGTAAACGAAAAATCTGGAAACACAAGGTAAAGCATCCGCGTCGCGGATGACAGTCTGATGTCGGCACAAGCACACCGCAAACTTGAAACAGACGTCGCAGCATAGAGGTTTCGAAAATTCTGTGACACGCGAAGACGATTTCCCAGTTCGGAAATCACGGACCCCGTTGTGGAAGAGGAACAGGAAGAGGAAAAGGAAGAAGAAGAAGAAGACGAACCGAGTTCAGCACGGGCCGCGACGAGGGGCTAGGTGGCCTGGAATGCGTGACTCTGTTCCCCGTGATCTCGCACTTGACCGACACTGCCGGTCTACGTGTTTTCCGCGAGGGAATAAACGTCCTCGATCGGAGTCCCCTTTCGAGCGGAGCTTTCCGCCCCCGTTCTCCGCGCGGTCGCCATCCGCGCGGCGTGCTGCATCCGCAGCGGAACGCACGGAGGGACTGGAAACCGCAAGGTCTCCGGGTCCCGAGAGAGGGGCGAGAGAGTTTAACACGGAAATCGTCGCTCGTCGACGACGAAGTTCGTATTCATCGCGCGGTCGAATCGTTAACGAGCGGATTTGCGACCGCTTATCGATGACACGCGTGCGAAACCGAGGGGAACAGTTCGGTCTCGATCGAGGGGAGCGGCGCGGCGCGGATTGCACGGCGCTGGCCAAGGCTGGATCGTCTTACCTTTGTTCTCCTTGTAACTGCCGTTCAGCTGAACCTCGCCGAGGTGACCCTGAGAGCTCTGGGAACTGCTCGACTCGTCGTCGTCGTCCGGCAGACTCGAGTTCAGCGTGTTGTTCAACGAGTTCAGGCCCAGGGGGTGGTTCAGCCGAGGACTCAGACGAGCGTTCAATGACATGGACAGCGGGGATGTGCCCGTCGAGTGTCTGCGGGACTTTCGGCGCTCGTGCGAGTCCACCAGCGACTTCCGGTTCCGTAGTGTCTTCCTGCGGAGCAGAGATTGGATTCGCGAGTTGTTCGGCGATTTCGGAAATTGGCAAACTTCGGGGTTACCTCCTTGGTACATTTGAAACTGTTTTGCATTTTGCCGAATCGAACTGTTGCTGACACGTTCACCGACTCGTGCGTAATTCACGACAATGATTCTTTAACCAGTTAGCTGTGGCGCCTCCATTTCAGAGCGCGCACCTATACAGGGTGTCCTAAATATGTCTCGCAAACCGGAAATGAGAAGTTCCTGGGATCATTTGAAGTAACTTTTTCCTTAGCGAAAATGCAATCCGTGGCTTCGTTTACGAATTATTAACGAAAAACACTGGCCAATGAGAGGCGAGCTCGCCCAGCGCTAGGCGGCCGAGCCAATCGGCGGAGCTAATTGGCCGCCTCGCGCCAGCTGAGCTGGGATTCGACCGCTCGACCGCTGGCGCCGTTGGCTCACGCGAGCTTAGCTGGCGCGAGGCGACCGAGCCAACGAGCAGTCGAAGCCCAGTTCCGCTCATTGGCTCGGCCGCCTTGCGCCAGCATATCTCACCTCTCATTGGTCACTGTTTTTCGTTAATAACTCGTAAACAAAGCCGTGGATTGCATTTTCGCCAAGGAGAAACTTACTTCAAATTATCTCAGGAACCTCCCATTCTCGGATTGCGAAACATTTTTTGGCGACGAGTATATTCGTCAAACACAATGTAAGTGTCGCTGTTAAAATATTGGATCAAAAAGACGGTTTTAGTTGATAAAATTAACAATTTTATTACCAATATTTACTTATTCGCTTGACGTTAACATATACATAATAAACGAAAAACCCAGGGATAATCAAATACTTATGAAAGTTAAAAATTCAAATTGCTGCTGTAGAGGAAGTGTTATTTAGCAAAGCAAGGAACAATATATAATGGCACTTTGCACATCGAACACCGATACCGTGATTCTTTTCTAATTTTATTTTTATGACAATGTAAACAACTTCGTGCAGGATTGGCCTAAAAATATTCTGAACATCTTGAAATTTGAGAATACGTTTTTGTTTTCCTTAAAATTACAATTTAAATAGCCAATGGTCGCTGCTTCTTACGTACGACGAGTATACTCGTCGTGTCACAAAATATTGCCATTTCTCCATGACACGTCAAACACAGCTAACTGGTTAAGACATGTGCGAAGCGGAACTCGTACGATGAATGAAAACGTGTTAGTCGATAACTGTGTTGTATTGTCGATCCGAATGGGGATTAAATACGAGCGGAGAGGAAAGATCCGAAGTACGGAATATCTTCGAGTACTTTTTGTCATTTTAAACGGGGATGGAGTTTCTGTTTATGGAAATCGATTGTTCCATTTCATAATCCTTTCGTTCCTTGCTACCTTCGATTAAAAGCTTCTCTGCTCAGTCTCGAAGATCCATCGCCGCGGAACACAAGCTATACGCTGTTTGTCTTTGGAAATTCTACAACACTGCAGTAACGCTGTTGCACTTGGGTGCAATCGTGGCAATAAACCAACGCAATTCCATTAGCCGCTTGTTCACATGACATCGGAGTGTGCCACGTAATATATGCCAGTACGAACTTATATCCATTTGTAATTGCTAGACTGTGGACCGTTGTGCATTCATGGCATCTGCGAGATTGTGGAATAGGAGAAAATATCTGTACTTAGGAGAATTTAGAGTTTCTCTCCCAGCCAATGAAATACGCGTTCGTCGCATTCTTATTTCTCCGAAATGATTCAGAAGGAAATTTGCACAAAGATCCGCTGTTTAATTATTTCCCGGGATCTTGCATTAAAGTATCATTAGGAAATTATTCTCGGCGAGTCGGTAACGGTAAGCTTAGGATAAATTCGGTCAGGGTCAAAGTACATCGATTAGGTAAGGCTTGCCTTAAACTACGTTACTTAGATTACGTGCCGGGCTTGGATTAGCCAGTTTACGCGAGTTATGTTACATCTGGGTTACTTAGTTTACGTTAGTTAAGTTGTGTTGCACGCGGAATAGTTACTTTGCCCCGGTTCGGTCGTGTTTCATGTTGCTAAATTAGTTTGCATCAATCATCACAACATTTAACTGCTTCCATTCGTTCCGATTAGAGTCTGTCTCAGTTAAGGTTGCAGCTTAGACTTGTACTTTTTGAACATATCTATCCCTGAAACTGAGGTTCTACATTCGGGATCTACCCTCTCTCGTCCGACGATCGCGTTCATTCGAACGAACCACAGGTGTCATTCAGCAGAATATCCGGAATTTGATTGTTCAATGGAAGTAATGACTTCGGGAAACGAACGCTATTAGAGAGGATCAGTTGATAGCTCCATGGCTGAATTGTTTAAGATCTGTTCCATTCCGTCAATCATCGTTGTCATTGTCTCGCTCGTTAGTAGTCTGATAATATGTAGAACTAAGTGGACCACGGATCTTCGCGTAAAATAAAGACCGTCTAAGGCACGTAAGTTAGGTGAAAATGTAGTTCTTCTTTTAATAGTTATAAGTTGAACATAATATATCGATATCGTTAAATTCTGCTATGTTCATAATTTTGTGCAGTAATGTTTCCCTTAGTGACGCTCAGATTGTCCACAAAGATGGACAATTTGGGAAGAGGCGATTGTTCGATTGTTCGAGCCTTGCAGCTTTTATTTTTATAGTTACCAGTTGCCAATAAATATAAAAACGAGCCAAAATGCTCGAATAATCGTATCTTCTGTACCTAAATTGTCCACATTTGTAGACAATCTGAGGGAGACATTACTGTATTTGGCCTATTCATTTTTGTCATAAATGCATGAAATCAGCAGTCCAGAGATAAGTATTTGAAATCTGCATTGATAAATGCATAATTGAAACAACGATCGAACGACATTAGTTTAGGAAATGATCTGCGAAATTCATTTCTTATTTGAAATCCTATTCCAGCTAGCATCGGGTTACAGAACTAACAGTTTTTCAAATGAGACATAGAAAGAGGATAAAATGGACTGGATAAAATCAGTAGTCCAGAGATGAATATTTGAAATCTGCATTGAGAAATACATAATTGAAACAACGATCGAACGACATTAGTTTAGGAAATGATCTGCGAAATTCATTTCTTATTTGAAATACTATTCCAGCTAGCATCGTGTTGCAGATCTAACAGTTTTTCAAGCGAGACATAGAAAGAGGAGAAATGCGATGAGATCGATACCTGATATTGTCGTCGAGCTGTCGAATAGGCGATCCCCTATCGTTGCCATCCTCGTGATGCAGCACCGCCTCGTAGATCTGGAACTGCCTGAGCAGGTCGAGGTCGGTGCCCTGCTTGGACATGTACCTTTGTATGATGCCCTCGATCCCCTGCTCCTCCAAGCAATCCACCTGATCGTAATAAGTGTCCTGGTCCGGTATGCCGTTCAGGCACTTATTGACCAAGGTCGTGGCATAGATCAGCAACTCCGTGTCCGCGGCGTCGTAGTCCTTCAGCAGCTTCATCACGTTCGTCCAGGGTATCATGCCTCTGGACGTGTCCACGGATCGCACCGCTCTCACCAGCAGAAGGCTGTTCGTCTCGACGTACTCGACGAACACCAGCAACAGCTTCAGGGCAGTCTTCACGACAAGCCGGAAACGGCTGGCTATCAACGTGTACAACCACTGGACCGTCTGACCATGTTCCATCACTCCGTTCATTCCATCCACATAAAGCATCACCTGACCGAGGGCTGTTTCAACAGAAATAAAGGGCTGTGAGAGATCTATTTTCCAGATCTATTTTCATTCTTTCGTTATTTGTATTATTAACAATCGCTTCGACTACTTGTGCTTACATATTCTATGTAATCGCAATATCAGCGCGGATAACGATTTATATACAGGATGTGCCAAAAATGTCTCGCAATCTGAAAGTGGCGGGTTCCTCGGGTCATTTGAAGCAACTTTTTCCTTTACAAAAATTTTCTCCGACGCACCATTAACGAGTTATTAACGAAAAACAGTGACCAATGAGAGGCGAGCTCAGCTGACGCGAGGCGACCGAGCCAATGAGCGGAACTGGGCTTCGTGCACTGGTTGGCTGGGCCGCCTCGCGTCAGCCGTACTCGATTCTTATTGGTCACTGTTTTTCGTTGATAACTCGTTAACGATGACTCGGAGAAAATTTTTGTAAAGGAAGAAGTTGCTTCGAATGATCCGAGGAACCTGCCATTTCCGGATTGCGAGACATTTTTGGGACACCCTGTATAAATGAGAAGATTTTTCATTACGGGAAAGTAGTTTAATATTTTCGATAACAGTCGATGTAGATGCGAATAATGATGTATTTATATTTTTTTAAAGACATTTCATTGTAAGAGAACAGTTTAATATTTTCGACAAAATATTCGAAAAATATGTAAACTCGTGAATTGTGAAAACAGTATTTAATAATTAATCTTAATACGTGCTTCCGAATGATAAGAACGATATTAGAAATGAGTTAGAACAATGTCTGGTTCGAATCTGAGATGATTTCAGCGAATGCTACTGTTGAATTACTTCGAAAACTTTGTCAACACTGAAATCATTTTCGAAGCTGGACGAAGGTTCGAGCGATCCTAACGTCTGACTGTTCGCCCGAGTCGGTTAAATATACACATACAGGCGAACGCTTCATCAATTTCGCATGGATCATAACCGTGACGCTCCCATTGTCTTTCCAAACAACGGAAACCAACCCATGCTAGAACTTTTTCAGTAAAAGCGCCGGGGAAAAAGCGTCACCAGACCGACAGTGAACGCAAATATCCAATGAGAAGCTTTTGTCGCGTTCTCCGTCGGAGTTGCCATCGGCAGGGTGGTAAAACCCATCAATTCCATGGTCTGGCCGCGATCAGTTTCGATCATTTTTTTGTTCGGCACGTGGTGCTGCAGCAGGCCGCGTCGCGCCGCGCCGTTTCGACGAATTGATTTTCTTTTTTTCTGACGAACGCGAGCATTGTGCTTTCTATTTAATAGCGTGCCAGTGTTCCCTTTGTATCTAATTGAGCCAGTCGATCATCGGCGGGTATTAATTGAATATTAATCTACGGAAAGAATAATACGTATCTTCTCTTTGTAACGTGAAAATTTGACAAATGTCAGCCTCCCTCCGCGGGAATTTTGTATTCGTTAATTTCCATTTCGATTCGGTGCCGCGTTATGTAATCCGCGCGGACGAATTCGACGAGAAAAGTAACCTTTGTTTCGAAGAATAGCAATTTTACGCTAAGTAAACCGATAAAATGCGATTTTTGTCGATTAGCTTCGCAAGTTTTCCACGAATTTGAGCAGCAAATTCGGAGAGCATCGCGCGATTCATATTTCACGTGTCTAGATTCGTCGTCCGGAAGTTTACCGAGAGGCAATCGTATAGAGAGAGGAGAAAAACAAATTTAACGTAACTCTAGTTTCGCAGTCCTGGGTTCTCGAGCGGAAAAATTGCCCCGCGGAAGCAGCGATAGCGAACTGTCGGAAGCCCGCCGAATAACGCAACAATAACTATTCGCGAACAAATTATCAACACGTAGAACAAACGTAACGCGGTCGTGTCAAAAGTTATAATTTACTCGGCGCGCGGCTACAAGTTCTAATTGAGCCCCGCGCATAGCTACGCGACAATTAATTATCTGGCCACAGTGGATTAACCAGTTCCCTGGCAAGCGTGTACAAGTAGGCGCGCAGGTAATCGCGGTAAACAGCCCTTATCGCCGATAAAGCAGTGTTTACCGGTGGCCAGGTGCTTGCAACTCCTTCGCCGATGTTCTTGTTTCGCGTCCCCACCACCGACTACCGCTGCTTGCGCTCGCTGCAAAACTCTCGTAAATAATGATAATGGCCCTTGCCCTGAGAAACTCTACTTACGTTTCAATGAACGATGCCCTTTACCCTCGATGGAACGTTATCGAGATATTAAAAAACGCTCCGAGATGTTTTCGGATCTCTTGCCAACTACCCATTTCAAAATTGCTCGCGACTATCTTTGTAAACATCCGGTGATACGCCGATGCGTTCACGCTTTCCCGCGTGAAAAATTCAAAATTGTTAGTTTCATCTAAAACTTCATGCATTCCTCGGTGTCACATTCATTTTTCTGTCTTTCGTAAATATTGTTGCGAATTACTCCGTTTCTCTCGCGTCGCGGCATTTTATTTACAATAGAGAATATTAACTATAACACAACTCGATGCAATTATATCTTAGATCTTTCAATTTGAAATGTTGCTCGTTCGACGGTCCGATTTCGACTCCTCGATCGTCTATCGGTAACACTCTTCCGTGGCAACCCCTATCTTCTATTATTCTTTAAGTAGTTGTTCACAACAGGGCAGTTTCACATTACAGCGACTTGATTTGGACAAGTCGCCGTAACAATATTATCTCAATGTCAGAACTACTATCCGATGCTCAGAAGAAGTCAGTTGAGAAAAACGTAGAACGAATGTTTCTTCCCTGAATCGTAAAAGCTCAGCAAGAAAAACTTCGATGCATCAAATTTGTTGGACCGTTTTCAATCTTTCTTGCATCCTGTATTGCTATTATTGATCACTTAACCCATTTGTAGCAATTAATTGTTCCGGATTGAAACGACTTCGTCAAGAAACGTTCGCGAGCACTGGACCATTTTACTTATCAGAAAGAAGAAACAGAGAATCGGTCAATAAATGTTATGCAGTCCGTTGCTCAAAGGAAGTCCACTGAGAAAAGTGTAGAATCGACTCCATGTTAACGCCCACGCAGAAGTAGGGTAAACGCGTTTCCCTTATTGGCAGAAATGATCCCCTTCTATTGGCCCCAAATTAGCCGCGATACTAAATTTCCACGAAGCGAGCTCGGCCGAATAAAAACAAACAACGTCTGACTCCCGTCAGGTCTCGCTACCTCGCGGTTGCCATTTTCGGCTAGGAGCACATCAGACGCTTGTGCCTGTGCTTTCTGTGGGTATAATGTGTATGCGTGTGTGTATTATTTACGCGACTACGGGCGAGCGAGACGCGCGACGGGCGTCAGGAGGCGCGGAACAATCGAGATAAAGAGAAACAGACGCAACAATTACAAGATGCAAGAGAGTTGACTTATCCCTAAAGCATTAACTTCAGATTCTTCTGATAAACGCATGATTATTTGTAATTACTAATTACTAATTAGCATCTTGATTAAATTTTCATTGCATTGTGCAGTAAACTTGCTGTACCATACACATATTTTTTATATTGGGTCGTTCGTAAAGCTGTTTCGTTCTTTCACGAGAAAATAAAAGACAATTTTTTAACGTTTCAAATAAAAAAGAAACTTTCCGTCATTTTTCTGCTGTTTTCAAAATCTTATCTCGTAGAAGCCCCGTCGTTTATTCGTAAAATGCTGAATCATGTGCTTCTCTAACAAGCTTATAAAACGAAATTTTTTTTAAAAACGTAACAACTTTCCGAACGACCTAATATTTACGTTATATCATATGATTTTTTTTAAAGTGTTATCATACACGTCTTAAATATGTGTTCAATATTTATGAAGTATAAGTGAGCATAATCATGTTCTGCTTGTGCAGTATTACTCTCATGTTCGCAGGCTTGCAATGTATTATTCGAGTATAGGAATTTTTTACGGATATCTTACGCCTAACGTTAACGTATAACGTTAAGAACCCGAAGGTAATATCGGGAAACGAGAAAATGAAGCACTACGCATGAACTAAATGACGCAAGGGCCAGGGGGCAAGGGGAATCGATCGTCCGCTCCACCTAATCTCTTCCAATTTTTTTTAATTCCATACTGTTGTTTATTATTGGTTAAGTAACGCGTTGAACAAGGGACGTGATTAGGTGAAGCGGGCGACCGACCCCCTCGCCCCTCGCGTCGATTAGCTTGCGGGTCTTCTCGTTTACCAATAGAAGTGGGTTTCGTGAGGTCATAGAAAAGTGGGGACTATGGGCGTGCGGGTCAGGCGGCGCGTGCTGAATACCTCTCTTGCCTCTCTGCGAAAATGACTGACTTCTTCTGAGCACTGGATAGAATATACTTTTGTTACTGAACGAATCAAATCATCGTATATTTATTCCCTGTATGCTATTGAACGATTTTCTCTTTCAAATGGTACAGTCACTAAAACTTCTTATCAACATGTGTCGTCATAGAACAAAAATGAAATTTTAATTAACACTGTCTTTAGATTCAGAATTGTTAAAAATTCTACTTTGGAGAAAGTAAACCGAAAGATCGGAACATATGATAACAAGCGGTCTGGAACACAATTTTTTCAGGGCACAGGATATTCGCCATCGTGAGGCGAACAAGGCTGCCAATGCAAATGGGGTTAAATCAGCAAAAACCCGTTACGGAACAGCCGGATAATGGAACTATTGTGTCGATCGAATGAAACTTTTCTCTGGTGGAAAGATCGGCCGGCCGGAAATTTCCGTTTAATTGATTCCGTGCCTGTCGTTCCTGCTACGGGCTGGATTCTACTTTCGCGAACGTCTTTTCCATCCAATTATCAGTCAGCTGTGATAACTCCCGATTACTGGGCCCCTTGAACAGTCTCGCCGAAAGCTCGAGATTTCGCGAACAACGCGATTGCGAATGTTACTTCGAATAATCGATCCCAAAATATTGGACGTTGCAAAAAATTCCTTTCCATACCAGCGAAATAAAACAGACACACTTAAATCGAATGTCTTCTGTAAACATTCTTATATTCATACTGATTTGA